CAACCCCTTTCCTTCGAAGTCTCAAAAGACTAATCGCCAGACGAGGTCGACCTTCTCTTATCTACTCGGACAACGCGAAGACGTTCCAAGCGGCTGCTTCATGGTTAAACAAGGTGATGAAAGACGAGAAATTCCACAGTGAACTGAGCAAGTATGAGATCAAGTGGAGATTCAATTTGTCAATTTGAACGATTAATCGGAATTTTCAAATGTGCTTTTTACAAGGTTATCGGCAAAGGACTTTTGACATTTGAAGAGCTGTCGGAAGTTGTTCTAGATGTAGAAATCTGTATGAATAACCGGCCACTAAGCTACTTAGAGGATGATATTGAATTTCCTATTCTTACACCAAATTCCTTTGTGCTACAACAGTCGAATGTTGTGCCAGAGCTAGAATGTTATCATATTGAGGACGGTGATCTACGAAAGAGGGCAAGGTACTTGCAAAGCGTAAAGAACCATTTATGGAGACGATGGCAAAGAGAGTACCTGACGAGTTTACGGCAGCGTCATCAGACCAACAGCAAGTCAACTACAGTTGGTCCCAATGAAGGAAATATTGTGTTGATCAAAGGCGACGAGAAGAACAGAAACAAGTGGAAAATGGGAAAAGTTACGAAGTTAATTCGTGGGAAAGATAACGTTGTCAGGGGAGTTAAACTTCAATGCGCTAAATCGACTATAGAAAGACCGATTCAACTGATTTATCCCTTGGAACTGGAATGCGACGTGGGGAAATGCGAGACGAAATTGAATACCAATGCAAAAGAATTCAAGCCAAGACGACAAGCAGCGGTCAAAGCAGAAGCAAAGAATAAGGAACTGTTTGAACGGGATGAGAAGGACGAATGACAATTAAACATTGAGACATCGGGGTTTACTAGTATAACATGCGACTCCTTATGAGTCACATGGGGGGAGGGTGTTGGAAATTGACGTTATTTTGCTTTATACATTAGTGTATTTTGAAGGACAACAATGGACATTTAGAGTTAGTAGGGGATTGCTGAACACGTGCGAGAAAACAGGGGGGAGTGAACAATGTTGGGACTGTGACTTGGGATTTTAAAACAGCGAGTTGGGAGTATAGTTTATTGCTATTAAATTATAAAATACATTTCGTGTTCCGTACTTATTTGGAGGCACAATTTCGGAATAGTATCTTTCGCCTTTCTGAAAGGGTAGGTCATAATTTTTCAGCACCAATTTAAGGGTGGGCTACAAATTTTTGAGCAGCTATTAAGGGGTAGGCTACCAAAATTCAGCCCTCGAAAACGAGGTCGGCATTCGCCGACCTATCAACCTCCGAGGTCGGCAAATTTTTGCCGACCTTAATTCAGCCAAAGTAAGGATTTTTTTTGTATTGATACTGTTAAAAAGTCAGCGATTATAGAATTCGATTCGTAGTTCGATTAACTAAACACACTTCAGTGTATTACAGGTTTAAAAATTGACGGGTATTCTATATATAATTTAGGTAAGACTCCAAAAGAAAAGCTGTCGTGTTTAATACTGTAGTTCTCGTTTCCGCAGAAAATGGCATGCTTTATATTCTGATTTCAATAATTCGTAAATATGTGATTACTAGTGCACCAAGACATGGAAACAGATTTTTAAAAAATGCCGATACGTGCCGACCTAGGTCAGATTCAGGTCGGCATTTTTTTGCCGACCTCAATTTTGATGGTTTTCGAGGGCTGAAAATTGCAGACACCAAATATATGATTTTCCCAGCCCCCCCCTTTTACTTTATGATCGGTCCCTTAGGACCCCCCATTTTTTCTTCTTCTTGAGCTTCACAAAAAGCTTAAAAGGAATGCAACACATGCAATGATTTTGCTAAGGCATTTATAACATGATTGCAATCATTTCACGCTGTATAAAGCCATACATTCTGCTAAAAATCAAACACTTCGGTATTAAAACTGAAAAGTCTAAAAATATGCATGCTCTCGCATTTGTATAAATATTTAGGCAACCTGTGACAAGTAATTATCGAAGCAATGTTACCATATGCTGAATGTCAGAACGTTATGTCAACTTAATACATCGCAATACTTTAGTCTGAACCATGTGCACAAAACTCAAAAGTGAGATGCTCCACACGAATGTCTGAGACATTCGAGTGTAATGGAAGAAAGCTGGATATCAAGCATTACTAAAGACACTTCACAACTTTTAGAAAAATTGCTTCTCAATTTTACGCAATACTCAAAATCACTTCACATCTTGCGATGCGTTAATTCGGACTTTGAACACCAAGCCTTGATTGAAAATTACAGTAAAATCAATGGATATTGCATTTCGTACACTTCACCCATGAACAATGTTTAATATTGTTTAGACCTGGCTTATTTTACCATTGCTATGGAAACAATACTTCCTTTATTAAAATCCCTTACCATGCACATTATCATTTTTCAATTTATGGATCTTTCACTTTTGTTTCAAAATGCTCTATTATTACAAACATGGCAGTTACTTCTGAGGTAAATGAATGATAAAGAAATTAGAAGTACAAAAAACAGGAAGAAGTGTAATTACAAATACCAGAGCCATAGGTCACATGATGGTCCATTGATTAAATATAACACCAACGTACGGTGACCACTGACGGAGACTAGTTGATATATAGATTTAAATTTCACATACTTTTCACTGCACCTTACTAAATATACAAAGGAACAAACAAAGGAACAGAGCAAAAATTTAGTGCATTTCTTGTTCAATACAATACAATCTATCCAACTGTATTTCCTACATTTAGTTTCGCCGTTCTTAATCATTTTATCCTGAGGCTTACCTGGAACTGGCTAGAAGTGAGTCAAGTGACTATATGTTATGTTTATGATCTGCCAAGAACACTCATACAGCCATTCTGGCGATTTCCCACTCTAGAACTTCGAAGGAGAAGTGCTTTAACTATACAAAGATTATTATCCACACAAATATTCAAAGTCGTTGAAGCATGAAATGATATGGAATATTGGAATACGTGTTTTGGCACGACAGTTCTTGTTTATGACAGATTATTTATGTAGATTGTGGGTACATTGGGGTATATAGAAGTAGTAGGTCTCAGTAGCACTTAAAATGGGGTGATAATGGGATAACTACCTGGGGATAACAATGACATCTGGAGGTTTTCCAAGATGGCGGACGAGGAAGCTAAAAATGTGAAAAGACGATTGGAAGTGGTAATTCTGAGTCTTTTGTACTTCATTTCATCTTTGTACTTCATTTCATTGTTATACTTCAACGCTTTTAGTATTTGTGTATCAGTTTGTGTTTGCTATCATCCGCTGTATCGCGGTTAGCAACAGGGCACTCAAGGGCCATTCCATTTAATAGAGACCTTAAGATTGACGTTTACGGCAAACGTCAAACCGCTAGCGAGGTTTATGATTTTACAACTCTATTATAATAGCTTTTACACCAGTTTTGAAATATGTTAAACTTATTAAACTTGTGCTCTTTA